AAAGAGTTCCAGGAAGGTGTGCCAAGAGAATATACTCCCAGCAGGGTCACCCACGTTGTGAAGGTCATCCCAGCTGCCCACCTTAGCAAGCAGGCATTTACATCAGGCAGCAAGCATACTGTGGGTGGATGATCACTTTAGTGACAGTGGCAATGGCCTCAGTTTATACTGTACATGAGAAGGCAATGGAAAACCATTCCTGTATGTTATCAAGAAAACAACAAGGATAGACAATATAAACAATATAATGCTGAAGGATGAGCCCCTGAACATGCTACTGAGGAAGAGCTGGAGATCTTTCAGAATGCTAATGATGATTATGATGTAGCTCAGTTAAGGTCTTTGGGACATCTAGTTGCTGATGTTGCCATTCAGAAAAAGAAATCTGAAGCTGCAAAGACAGAATTACAGCGGGAATATGAAATGTAAGAAGCATGAACATGAGAAAGCTCAACTCAGTGATAGATGAAATGAATCAATTATGCATTGACATCTTAGGCATCAGCAAAGTCAAATAGGCTGGAATTTGACACTTTCAGTCAGAAGATCATACTGCTTACTGCTCAAGACAAAAAAAAGCAAAGAAGAAATAATTGCTTTCATAATCAGGAATGATATAGCAGACAGTACTTGGGTACTATGCAGTTAATGATCAAATAATATCTATGAACAACTTCATGGACAGCCTTTAATATGACTGTTTCCCACGTTTATGCTCCAATCACTGATGCAGAAGAAGAGGAGGTTGATGATTTTTATGGTCAAGTTCAATCAGAAATAAACAGAAAGACAAACAAGAAATGCTGCTTGTGGTTGGAATGCCTAAGTTGGAAATACTAAGGAGGAAAATATAGTTAGACTGTATGGTGTAGGAAACCAAAATGAAGCACGAGAACAACTTATCAGGGTTTTTTTTCCCCATTACTAACACAGTCTTCAAACAACTAAGTGATGCCTGTATACATGGACATCACCAGATAGAGTACAAGGAATCAAATGTTATATTATTGGGACAAGGAAGTGGAAGAACTCAATTATAACAGCAAAAACATGACCCAAAGCTGACTGTGGAACAGATCACAGACTTCTCATGCACAAGTTCAGAGTCAAATGACCTTCAGCATATATATCTCCCATTGTCAAGGCAAACGTCAGGCATCACTTTGAAGTTCTGAACTTCATTGATAGGAACCAGAGGAACTGTAGAATGAAATCAGATAAGTTGTTAAGGAAGAATGTGAACAGAGACTGCCAACGACCAAGAAACAGAAGAAAGCAAACTGGATGTCAGAACAAATAATGGAAGAAGAAAAGAGAAGCCATAATCAAGAAAGACAAAGATTTCTGGAAGGAACAACAAAAAAATTCGGAGAGCTGTTACAAGAGACAAGTAGCAGTATTACAACAATTTATAAAGACATCAAGGAAGACATGAGAGGGGCCGGCTCATGCTTTGTACCTGGTGGCATTTATCACTTTCATCTCTTAACCAACAGTGAAAGTGAGAAAACACGACTACCAAGGAAAGTCTTGTGGATGGGAGCTTTTCTAAAGCAATCCAAAAGGCCCTGCAGGGAATTGTGAGAATTCTAGCAATTTAGAGGAACTGATGATGTCATTGTGCAAGACTGAGGGCAACAGCGCTAGAGCCAGGACAAAAAGTTGTCGGAGTTTAAGGTGGCTGGGTGATTTCTGGCAGCGAGAGAGAAACCCAGCTGCTTCTGTGGAAACCATATTAATATGTGTAACTGTTTAATTGTTGGAGTGATTTTGAAATGGCATTTCCACAAAAGACTGTCTTTACTTCTGATGAAATTAAAAAAAGGTAGGGATGCCCTTGAGCTGAGCTTGACTCCTGGTAACTGCATCTGTGCAGTTTTCTTGATATTAATTTTATTCTTAGGCCGTTGTGAACGTTACCTGTCCCTAAAGAGCATAATAAATATCAGGAATAATACTGGTGTTTTTCTTTTGGTAGGAGAAGGGTGATTTAAAAACATTTCAGTGTATTTTATCTGATGTATAAAAACCACATAACCACTGCTTGTTCTTTTTTAAAAAAATGTTGTGAACTAATCAATCCATGGAAGAAATGTGGCTTGAAATGCCAAAAAATTATTATAATTTAAGCAAAATGAAATGTTTAACTGCATTTCAGATTGATACTTTAAATATCAAAAGACCAATATTTTCAAAATTGGTGTATTTAGTTAAGCCACTTTGACAGTTGGAATAATCAGAAACATGAGATATACAATCATTAATCAATAATTAAATACATAAAGTTAAAATGAACGGCATCAAAAATGTTTTGGGTGACAACTCCATGAACTCTGAACACTGGCCATCCAACATCTGGAGGACCTCAGCTTTTCTATTCTCATTTGAAAGCTATGGATGAAACATTTTGAAGAAAAATATGAGGGATTGACTCAAATCAAGATGAACACAGAAGGAAATTTGTTTCCTCAGCTGTGTTGAGACTAACAGAGGCTAAGTTTATAATGATAATTCTGACTACCGAGTCAGAATTAAGAGGGTGTTGAACTCTCAGGGATTCCAATCAGAAATAAATAATGTGCACATAATAACAGGTTTCTCAGGGTTTTTGTTCTCTGCTTTTTTTTCAAGTGCTAGGAAATATTTCTGGTTTTAAGGTTGTCTTTCAATGTAGCTGAGGACCAAAATACATGGCCTTCCATATGCCAAGCCTATATAATCTAAAGAGCATCAATAGTATGCTCATCAGGTAATTATTTGGATTATTAAGAATAAAAGAGGAACTGAGCCCTCCTCCCCTGCTTTGGTCTTGGGGAAATGCTCTGATCTGAACCTATATTTATTTTGAAGAGGAGGGAAAGGAATCAGAAAGAGGCTGAATCTTTGACTAACCAAGATTATAGCTTAATTTCTAAGCTCCAGGACAGAGAGTCAGGTGTGGGTTGGATCTAGATTAATACTAGTTTTAGGATGAGGCATTAGGCTTAACTACTGAAATCATTGGTTCAAATCTCTGCTGAATTAGGTTCCTCTTTGCATCAGGGCTGGATCATATTGAGATAGATTGCAAAATGGGAAACAGTGAAGGAAATCCATAGGCAACAAGAAAGGATGACCAGAATCCATGATAGATGATGAAGTCACAGGACATTGAGTGCTATCTGATGGTAACCCACTGTAATGGGAAGAAGGAAGGATCTTGAGGGACAGGAGGCAGAACAGCTACCAAGACAACAATCACATAAAAGAAACCTGAGTCCAGGGCAGAAATGTAGCCTGAGAAAACGTCTCAGACAAGACCTTCTCTAGTTCTCACAAAGATAAAGGGAGGGAGGGGCTTGCATTCAGACTTGCAAGATTCTGTTACTATTACCTTATAATAAAAGTAGTATTAGCTTGCTTGACTTTGGTTTCCTCATCTGGTCTGCCTTGAGGAACTGACATCCATACACTCACTAACTCTTGTATCTGGATAGAGTGGTGATGGTAGCCCCTGCTTCTGCCTCTTGCTCTTCCTGCTTGACAGAATGGCTCATCACTGTTTTTCCTGACATCACTTAAGGTGCCAGTTTCAGACCAGGATGAGGTCATCTTACAATGGGTTGATGAATCGGATTTCAATGTATCCTTTTATTTACCTTGCAAATGTTATGGAGCTATGAACGGTAAAGCATATTACATATTGAAAAAGGCAATAGAATGTTTCAGTATAGAAAATGAATTATTAGTGTTATGATAATCACAAAGGATTAATAACTTATACCATGTTTGTCAAAGGATGGCACATAAATGGATTGCATAGTACTGTGATTGGGAAATAGCCAGTATACAATGTACATTTTATCTCTCTGCAAGCAACTTGGTGTAAGCAGTTAGTAGCCACTCTAAGGAAATGGTATGGAGAGAAAACCAGGATTCCCCAGCAATAGCACAAGATGCTTTCTTATGATGGTCAGATCGCTGTTTCACCCCCTGCAATAAGTTTGACAATGACTGGGAGTATCCAGAATCTCAGGCAGGAACTTTCCAACTTACCAGGGAATGAAACTTGGACATGTTGCTTGCAGAACCAGTTCTCTACTACTGAAATAAAGACCCTTTGCTATATTAGCTGTGGAATGAAGCTAAAAGTCATTCATAGGTTGAAAGAAGATAACACAGATTAGATTTAGGCAATCTTTTGCAGACTGGGGAGAACATTTGGATTTTTAAGGGATGTTCTGGACGCTCTCATAAAACACGTTGTTGTTGTTGTGGGGAGAATAGGAGGAGGAAGGAGTATTAAGTATGTTTGCTGCCTTGAGTTATTTATCAAAATAACAAAGGTGGGATAAAAAAAAAAATCTAAAAAAAATTACCAGAAAACAAATGGGGGCAGGAGGAATTACTGTTACCCTACAGCTCTTTTGAATCCTCACTACAATCTTTTCCTTTTTGGTGGGAGGGGGGAGAGGTGGGCCCATTTTCAAACAAGACACAGAGCCGCAGCCACTCCCCATTTTTAATTTCTAGGGATGTGTATGTGGCCCATGTGGGCATTCATGTAAATAAAGTTTATGTCAGCTTTGCCCTTTTTTTTAAAAAAAAGGTAAAAAATATTCATGCAGAGCAGGGGGGAGTCTGGTGGGTACCAAATTACTCATTCCAGAAATACTGATGGGGATCCATGTTGCCCATAGCATAATTTAGCATTCTCTGTGGAGCACTCAGTTCCTTCTTCATTTGTATTTGGGGAACATCAGGCTGAAAGATAGAATCCCCATTAGGCAGTTTGTAATATGTAATCTGATCATTTAGAAATTGTGTGTCTAAAGAAGCGTGCTCATAGGGAACACAGATGTCTGTGTGGGCGTGAGAGAGAGAGAGAGAGAGAGAGAGAGATTTGTCAATTGATCTAATTATGATTTGTTCCAGTTTACCACATGGGGCATAAATGGTTCTGGTCCACAAACTGATAACGAACATGGACTAACTCTTGGTGTTTGTTTTTATCTTTCTAGGTACCTTGGCATAACTAGACCCCTCACCTATCCTGTAAGACAAAACGGGAAGTGTATGGCTAAAATGATCCTTTGTGTGTGGCTGCTGTCTGCTTCTATTACTTTGCCCCCGCTGTTTGGGTGGGCTCAGAATATTAACGACGACAAAGTCTGTTTAATCAGCCAAGACTTTGGCTACACAATTTATTCTACTGCCGTTGCGTTTTACATCCCCATGTCGGTGATGCTGTTCATGTACTATCAGATCTACAAAGCTGCCAAGAAAAGTGCAGCCAAGCACAAATTTGCTGGTTTCCCACGACCTGACGAGCGTGAAGGGATGGTTTCGGCGAACGGCGTAGTGAAACTGCACAAGGAATCTGAAGAGTGCACCAATTTTTCGCGTCTCCTTAAGCACGAACGGAAGAACATTTCTATTTTCAAAAGGGAGCAAAAAGCAGCCACTACCCTTGGAATAATTGTAGGGGCCTTTACTGTATGCTGGCTGCCATTTTTCATACTTTCTACTGCTAGACCCTTCATCTGTGGGACCTCTTGTAGTTGCATCCCTTTGTGGGTTGAGAGGACATTTCTCTGGTTGGGTTATGCCAACTCTTTGATTAACCCATTTATATATGCCTTCTTCAATCGGGACCTGAGGACCACCTACCGCAATCTGCTGCAATGTAGATATAGGAATATCAACCGTAAACTCTCAGCTGCAGGCATGCATGAGGCCCTGAAGCTTGCCGAAAAACCAGAATTTGTTCTGTAAGGTCATTTCCCTTTTATTACACTTATTTGCAGGTTCCCATAGAGGCTTTCCGTTCCAAATAAAACCAAGTATAGATCAAACAATCTAAACATAGATTGCTAGACCTTTCTTGATTTATGGGACCACTGATTAGTGGAGAAACCAAAAAGGGTCTTATGTTTGGAGAAGTTACTGGGAAGGCTGACAGTAATGAGGGACAACCTGCTTGTCAAAGCAAGTAGGAAAGTAAAAACCTAGGCTACTAGTTACTGCATATCTCTGAGATCCAGATTACTTTGTCTGCTGGTGACAGGGGATACTGTCAGAACAGACACATTAGGGGACGAAACAAGAGCATAACAGGATATTGAATGCTCCTAGGCAATATCCCAATTCAGTTAACCCAAGTGGCCTCAGTGCAGAGAGCCATGGAGATGATCTTGAGGGAAACAGAAGTCATTACCAAAACAAAAAGGGTAGAAGCATTCATTGAGTCCTGGGAAAGGAGATAGTATTAGAAAGAGACTGAGGCTGGCCTCTCCTTGACTCATTGGGGTATCAGAAGGAGGGGAGGAAAAACACAAGGCTTGCAAGATTCTGTTAATATAGTCTATCTCAATAAAGCTTCATTCTGATCTTACTGTGGAGTCAGTTTTCTGGTCTAGACAGCCTCTAATGGCTGACCCTGAAGGGCAGTCCCCGTAGATTAATGGTACTATTATGGAACATCAGTAGATTAGCAAATAGATATTTAAAACCTGAAATTACTGATATGGCCTTTATTTTAAATAGCTGATTGGAAGAGTTTGCCTGGATGAAGGTAGATCTCACCTTTGAACACTTGTAGCACCAAGCAAAACCTGAGGGGTAGACAAACAGAGTTGTAGAGGTTAATCTCTGGAATCAGGTAGTGACATTGCTTGACAGGATCTCTTCTGGGTGCTTTCTTCTGTCAGTAAAACCAACAATGAACCAATGGAACAATGACTAGAGCAACGTTAGTGAAAAACAGAATCAGATTGAACATGGTCTAGAACCCATTTTAAGGTCAGTGCTGTTGCAGTGATTGTAGTGGACACATCATTTTTTCCTGGCACCATGTCTGCACTGAGTTGTCCAACAATGCTCAAAAGCCTATTGAATTCTGGCCGTCAAGAGGAAGACATAAACCACCCAGCAGTCTATTGCAATCAATTCATACAACACTTGGTAGATCCAATTGCTTGTATTCATGCTAAACTGGACTCTTTACAGAGGTGGTAGATGCTTCATTCTTGCTCTTCCTGGCTTATGAAAGTGGCTACAAGACTGGCTGAGTAGTAACGGTATTGATGAATGCTTCTTCACAACTTTGTGTGATTTCCTTCATATTTTAAAGAGATAGCGCCAAGATTTTTGTTACAAGGAAAGAACTCTTTTACACCTCCTCTCATTTTTCATAATTTATGTCCAGTTTCCAAAATTCCACTGTTGGTAGTACTTCCACTTTGGAAGTCCTTGTTCTCTTGTGTTCTCGTGTATGATAAATACTTTGGTAACCTTGCATGAGATTCTTTTATGTCCCTTTTGGAGGAGTAATAGTTTCAGTGATGCTGGGAGGGTCTTGTTCAACGCCAAAGGTGTTGGCCTGTGGCGTTCTTAGGGTTCCAACTTCTTCCCCATTCTGTTTATCATATACATCACTCTGTCTTCAGAATCTTGCAGGCAGACTGTTGATTGGGATTCATCATAATGAGTAGGGCTGCACAGCTTTGGGGATTCAAAAAAGATCTAAAGAAAAGATGCTTTAGAGTTGTGCACTCACATAGCTACTCCTTAAATCAGCTGCAGTGTTTCACAGGATCATGGATTTCCCCTCCATCGCTGTTGCACAATCCAGGAAAAGAAGTGTTTGGTTTCAGGAGTTGCCAATGGTTGGTATGTGTGCACTGGTATATGTTCTGGAGAAACTTTTCCCCTTCAAATCCAAAGCACTGCAGGGCCTTAACATGGAGCATAAGACTTTTTGGTTAAAACAGCTCCACTGACTTGTGCTTTTTTCACTGATGATGATCTATAAAGATCTATATAGATTATGATCTTTGTGACTTGGAAGACCTGAAAGATGTGAGAGTTTAAGGGAAGGCTTAGTTCTGTCACCACTAGAGAAGGTCTTGTAGGAGTGGGAGATTTGGCCTTCATGCTGGCAGCTTTCAGGCCTTGGAAGTCCTTCTTCTCTTGTATCCTCATTCTGCTGACATGCCAGAAAGTTTTCATTCATTCAATATATAAGCTAGTTTGTTGCTGAGTTGGATGGATGCTTTCTTAATAATATGTTTTTAATCCACTTCCTTTTTTGAAAAACCTTTTTATTGTTAGTTGCCTCGAGAGATACTTGTGAGAAAGCCCAAGTAAAAATAAATAAACAATAACTGAGTTACATAATAAAAAAATTGCTTCACTGTATGTCATGGTTAATTAATTCTTTTAATTATTTCCTGCATTTCCAGATTACAAGCAGCCAGAAGATGGTGAACGATCTGTTAAAATAAATCCTTTTTTCTTTTAATACATTTTCTAGGAGTGTTTTAAATTGCCGAAGTCAAGCCTGACGTATATTCTGAAAACAGAAGCACTTCCAGACAAAAATGATGTTTTACAGATGCCAACTTCCAGATGAAACCCTCCATTATTTACATGGGATTATTCTCAAAGAACATGGAGTCCTTAGTGCTCTCTGAACTTGGTTGTTTGCTTGTAGACATTTTTTTTTCAAAGAATTTTATTAAATATTGTAAATGAAAAGAATAAAAGTCAATACAGACTACAAAAAATGCAAAGAGAAAACAATACCCTAATCAAGGAGAAGACCATACCCACCCCCAACACTGGCAGGGCAAGCTACTGTTAATAAACAGGGAGAAAACCCCACACTCACTAGCACTGCTGATGTTACCTAGTCAGGTAATGAAATGTCTGCAAGCAAACGACTAAGCTCAGAGAACACCAAGGACTCCACAGTTCAATGAGCTACATATATTCTCCTCTGTGTTAGTATTCTCAAAGAGTTGGACTAGAATTAATAGCTTTGGAAATTCCCAGGCCTGCAGACTTAACTTCTGATTTAGTAGGAATCACGCCTGCTTCTCATGTACTATAGGTAGTAAATTAAGATGGGATTCATACATCACACTAAGCCATGATTTGTTGACCATAATTTCACCTATAAATTACATGAACATTAGGTTCATGTATTGTGCTGAAGCTCAAAGCACATTAACCCTTAACACTAATATATAAACAGAAAGAAGATTAAATAAAAAGTAATGAGTCATGGTGCTCCTTAATATGATTTGGAATCACTGAAGGGACAGCACAGGTGATAAAGTTAGCTTTGTGGGTTGAGATCCCAAAAGGCCTTTTGGCAAATGCAAAAACTTTCCTGCTTGCCCAGAGATCCCTCCCCCTTTTTTTTTATTTTGGGTGGTCTGGTCCTCATTTTGTGTAGGACCACCATTGATGTGTCCTCTAGTTGTCCAGTGGCACTGGGGGCTTTGTTTACCATTTTATAGTGGGTGGGGCCTGACTGGGCCTGGCCAATGGTTAAGGAATAAAATCACTGTCTTTTTTGGTGAGAAAAACAGCTTTTGAGACCTGTTTTGATGTTTGTTTCATGTCTCTTTGCTGGTCTTTGTTGGATTATTTTGCGGGAAACTCGATCATTGGGTCAACTCTTACACAATTATTTTTCTAAATGAAGAAAGCTCTTCTTTCTTCCTCATTGGGGCAGGGAAGAAATGAAGCAGAAGTAATGTAAAAGGGAAAAAGGTAAATATCAGGAACAAATTAAGGAGCTGAAAAGCACACATTTATTGAAGAATTTTGATCTCAGAATAATGAGCCCTACCACCCCAATTCACTCCAAAGTAAACCAGCAGTAAAAGGGTGCACAATCTTAAAAACTCAATTTCTTGGCTACCCTTTAAAAATACTTTTTTCTCTCACCTCCTGGTTCAGTCATGCCTGAATCTCACACTCCCAAAAAGAAATCCAGTGTTTGTGAATATTTGCTTTCTCATTGGACAACTTGCCCCATCCCAGAACCTTAGTTTGGGGAAATGTTTCCAAGTGAGCATTGCTGGTATTTACTATGCTCTTAGGATCCACTGCGATAAAATGCTTCATTGGCTTGTTAGGACAATACCATCACAAACTGAAGGCCGTTTCCTCTTTTGGTTTCATGGAGCAGTGGGAATTGGAGGGGCAATCAGCTGAGCAACTGGCAGAATAGAAAGGTTGTGTGCTGACTGGCTAGTCGTCTTCTTACTCTGCGATCAGGTAGCTTAGGCAAAGTAATGATTGGCTGAAGGTGCTCCAGATCAATACTAAATGCATTTGGGGATCTGTAGATGGTGAAGATGAGGTGGGAAAACATGGGTTGAAAATGCATTGGAGAAGGTGTGCAGGAAGAGTTTATAAATCTGCATTTTACTTGTGTGGAGGACTTGTAATAACATCATCTGAACTAGCTGAAAAGAATCAAACTTTGAAAAGCAGGTGCTCACTTGCCTCCATGTTTACTTAAAGTATCATTAAAAATACTTAAAAGGTCACTCAATTTTAGTAGAGTTATAGTGAATGAAACTTTTTTTTTTTTAGCTAGGAGATCATAGAACAGATCTGATATATCAATGGTGTTCTTTATACTGGCAGCATGTGTATGTCATGCTCAACTGTACTTCCTACTGTGGGTGCTTTCTATATTTGTAGACTTCCAGGTTTCACAATTCTCATCAATAGCTATGTTGGCTAGTGAATTTGGGTCATTGAAGTCTGTGCTTCTGAGGGACATCCAGTTTGGAATGGCTGTGTTAAATTATGGTAGTGCAAGAAGAACAAGTAAGAGCTAACTTCAGGCTTATGATCTCTCCTCTATTCACACAACCATGGTTTGTACAAAAACCTTGAAACCATGGTTTAAACAAACCACTTTAGTGTTTCATGTTAACCACAATTTGTAGAAAAATATGTTCTTGTTAAGCCAAAGAAAAAGTATATTTTTCTTATCCTTATTTGTATTATCTTCTGAATATGATTTGTAATACCTTTCCTAAGAGAAAGATGATCATAATGGTGGATAGAGGTGTCGGGCAGAGTGATAATCACAAACACTCCTGTTTGTGCAGAGCGC